CCATGAAACCACAATCAAATGAACGAAGATTGCAAGATGGGGGAGTAGGAAGATAAAAAGTCAAAAAGGTACCAAGGTGCCAAGCCATGTACAGAAGAACCTTAAAGGTGAGCATTATTTTTACAATATTTTGTACATGTGGGTCAAAGTTCAAGCCTGGATCAAATATGACCCCCAAATTCTTTGAAATTTAAATACAATGCCATCTACAGATAGGGTTGCTTTAAATAGTTGATGGGAGGTGCCGAGAAGCATGAATTCAGTCTTGTTGCAGTTTAAATAAAGAACATTTTGAGACATCCAGAGATGTAATTAGAGGCTGCAGAACCAGCTACTTCAGTGTCAGGATTAGTATGGACATAGACTTACAGTAAGTATCATCGGCATAGAAGTGATAATTCAGACCATGGGACTTTTAATAACTGACCAAGTGGGAACATGTAAAAGCTGAATAGTCCCAAGGAACACCAGACTTAACAAACCCCACATCAGATTAGAACCCCCAAGAAACTAAAAGTGTTGGCCATCAGTAAGGTATTTATCAGTTTTTAAGTGCAACATCAGAAACTCCAAACAGTCTCAAGATGAGAAAGAAAGTTGACATGATTAATTGTGTCAAAAAGAGTACTGAGGTCAGGAAGAATTAGGATAGAGAACCGAAATCATCAGCCATAAGAAAATGAAGACCGTTAGTAACAAGGTCATTTGTAGTGCTGTGTAATTGTCTGAAACCAGATTGGAGGGGTTTGAATAGGTTATTTGCAATAAGAAGGCTATTTGATTGAATTGCAATGGCACATTCTAATTTTATTGCAAGATAAGGTAAGTTGGATATAATGTTCAGATTGTCAAGGGCCATATTTATTTTTTTTAGCACAGGGGTACCTGCTGCTTTTTTAAAAGATATTGGTACCACTCTGGTGCTCAAGGACTCACTTATTTTGTTGAGTCCGACAGGCCAGAGGGCAGAAAATCTGGACTGAAATAAAACAGCAGGAATAGGATCCTATAAAATATGAAGACATTTTTCTTGTTTATCTGCCAAAATACATGATAGGTTACTTAGGTTACTATGACTTCAGTAAAAATGAAAAGAAGCTGACCTCAAATGTGGTAGAAATTTGAGATATTCCAGATAAAAAAAACCTATTCAAATGCTGTTTAAGTAAATGTGTTTATCCAAACTAAATTTACATTAATCTAACAACAAGTACAGTACATACATTCAGTGTTGTATACATAATATCTAGCTGTTTGTACTAATCTACAAAGATCTTATAAGAAAACATCTAGTCTCCATTTAGATGTATTCTATTCATGTTTGTCAGGTAAGTACAAGGACTGTACACCTTAAAATCTATTACAAAAAAGTTGTCAAACAAGTTAATGTTTAGGAGTTAACTATGATTTTACATCTGTGTGCATATAGAGTCATTCCTTTTGTTTATTTGTCATCTGGGAGTGACCAGTGGTCAGGGTCATATCCAGAGAGATTACAGGATGTATTAAATAGTACTTTATTATGCACTAATGACTCTCCCTATAGGAAAAAAATAAATAACACTCTTAAATTTTGTATATTGGTAACATTTTAAACAAAAGGTTTAGCATTTAGGTCTTGTCCTACAACCCCCCCCCCCAGAAGTGCCTTAAATAGTAGGAGACCCAAGTTATTCACCACTGAAGTCCATTGCACATCTAGGTCAAGAGCAGCTGCCTCACTCATAGCACTACATAGCAGATCAGGGAGAGAAGCATAAATCTACATCACAAGGCCAAACCTAAGGTACTTAAAGTGAATTGAACAGAGGACACCAGTGTTTACACCTCTGCTTTTCAAGAGGGCTATGTGATCTTTAATGACCAGGTAGTCAGAATTTTAGTCAAATGTTTCATCCATACAACCTACAGCACTTCGATTTGTTTCCACTTGTCATACTGGGGCAATGGTTTGGTCACTCTGCCCAAGATGGAAGATTTCCAGTTACTGGTCTTTTAGCACCATTTGCAAATAAAAGATTAATCTGTGTTTGTTCCTTTAACACCTTCGGACTGGTTCTGCATACGTGGTCCAGAGTAAAGGCTGCTAACTCCTGATCCACCTTACAACAGCAACCTTAGAGACCTCCTAGCCAATCCTAACCATGCCTGATCTTGTCTCATCAGGCAACTTCTTATATATGAAGAACATTTGCTCCTCCAATTTATATAAACATTTATGCAACTTTAAAGCTCTTAATACACACCACAAACCTAAAAGGTGTTAATTGGAAGATACGTAAATACATACATTTCCTTGATTAATGTTAGTTATGGGTGAAACAGTTGTCTTTGACTGATGACTTGATAAATGCAAAAAGCAAAACTAGCAGTTTCTTTACATGGGTACTCCTACCTTCGCAATGCAAAAGGGCAAGTGCTATTCAATAGTCATACCAACCACAGACAGGTGGATCTTATGAGTGAAGAATTATGACTATTCCAAGTAAGTGTCCATTGACATATTGATATAATCCTACATAATACTCCTACCAAATAATTGTTGTTCTAATGTATATAGACTACCGTATATGTACTGTATAGTATATTGTATGCAGTATAAGTACACCCTGCATTTGAGTGACAGTGGATAAATTCCCAGTGCCTGTCTAAGAAAAGTAATATAAAAAAGTCAGTCATTATATATACTTCAGTTCTTGTTTGTCTTTTTTATGTTTCAGTGTCACCTGAACTTTTTTTGTGAATTATTAATGAAATTATCTAGCCGTTATCATTGAACTGAGTAAAAACAAATAAACAATAGGTCATGGGTTTAAAACCTACGTAGATGATATCTCCCATAATGATTTTCTTGTCAAAAAGGGTTTTTTTAAATATTTTTTCATTTTTCATTTTTTAGCTGTATCATATTTTTATCTGTTTTATTTCTTGAAATTAATGAATGCACATTTAAAACTATTTTAACATGCACATACTTATGTGTGTAAAAACACGGAACTATTGTGTTTAAACTTATCTTCAAATGTTGCTTAGTATCTGTATCTTAATACACAAAAACAGGCTATTAACCCATTAACATCTCCAGACATCAATGATGTCATCAAACCTAAACTCTTTTTTAATCTTTTTGGAATATCTAACTTGACTAACAATTGAATGGACAGCAATTAAGATTTATCACACCAGAGTGTCATCAATGTAGGAAAGAATTAAAGATGGAATACACTAAAGAATGTAATGCAATACTGAAAGCAATTGCACTACTAACAGTGGTCATTTTCAGCACTACTGTATAGAATAATCACCATCTTTCAGCAATTTAAATAACATCATCATGCTCAAAACATGCATCACTTATGAAAACTCAGAATTAGTTGGAGTATGACTGATCTTACTGAAATTGATAAATAGGAGCACTTGCTTCCATCTAGTGGCAACCTTATTTTTCAAATATTTTTAAAAGTGAGACTCCTTTTGTAAGGAGTAGAAACAGCTTCTTAATATATCACAGAATACATAACTTAGAGTGAATTCTCATACTGTTGGCATTCCAAATGTTTACTGGTAGCAGCAGGATAGGTTTCTGAATATATCACACACACATATAATATAATAATAATTGCTTATATAGCGCTTTTCTGGACACCCCACTCAAAGCGCTTTACAGGTAATGGGGACTCCCCTCCACCACCACCAATGTGCAGCATCCACCTGGATGATGCAATGGCAGCCATAGTGCGCCAGAACGCTCACCACACATCAGCTATCAGTGAGGAGGAGAGCAGAGTAATGTAGCCAATTCATAGAGGGGTATTATGGAGGCCATGATTGGTAAGGGCCAATGGGAAATTTGGTCAGGACGGCGGGGTTACACCCCTACTCTTTCCAAGAAACGCCCTGGGATTTTTAATGACAAAAGAGAGTCAGGACCTCGGTTTTACGTCTCATCCATAGGATTTACAGTGTAGTGTCCCCGTCACTATACTGGGGCATTAGGACCCACATGGACCACAGGGTGAGCACCCCCTGCTGGCCCCACTAACACCTCTTCCAGCAGCAACCTTAGTTTTTCCCCAGGAGGTTTCCCATCCAGGTACTGACCAGACTCACACCTGCTTAGCTTCAGTGGATTGCCAGTTGTGATTTGTTGTGGAGCCTTCCTCAGACTTGGTGGGTTGCTTTTTTCTTGGTGAAGGTCATGGACCATTGTTTATCTCAGAAGTTCAGTTCCTGGAGGGCTTCATGTTTTCTGGTCTTTGTTTCAAAATGTAATTGAGCAGTCAGTTAAACAATCACCCTAACTAGACATTCACTTCATTAAATGTGTTTACCTATACATCTCCTCAGGGTTTGGATGGTAGTATTGCAATTATGTAGCTAATTAAATAAGTAGACCGACTATGTAGATGGGAACGTGGGTTGAAGAGAAACCAGAAGATATGAGACTCCTGGACTACACCAGTCCATCATGGGACACACACACCTGAAGAAGGCTCCACGGCCGAAACGTTGTGTTCTCTTTCTTCTTTTTTTCAGCATGGAATAAACCTATTACTTGTTCCTTTACACACATGATCAATATCCATTCAATGTTTTTGTCGTAACTTCAGAAATGTGGATCTGTCCAACAAAAAGAACAAATAGTTAACGAACAAAGAAACAAGAAATCCTTGTCACTAGTTATTGAATGTTTTAAAGTTTAGTGCAGAAATGTTGCCCCTATTTTTGCTGTTCTTAAATTATTTAATCCCTGAGCAGACAGTCGCAGAAATTGCAAGTGTGGTCATTTAAATTTTTTAAAAATATTTTCTTGAAAAGAGTAGGGGTGTTATCCCGTCACCCTGGCCAAATTTCACCATTTATTCCCAAAATCACCAAAATACAATTACATTGCATAAAATTGCAGTAAACAGTAAAGCTATTAATATTGTAACACAAGAGGGCGCCCTTATTTTTTATGGTCTCTTACCGACCATGTGTTCTCTTTTCCCAGATTTCTTTGTCACGCTAGGAAGAGGAGATTATAGTCTGTGCTGTTGGAAAAACGTCTTGTTTGGGTGTAGTGGTTCACTAAGGGACCACGAATTTCAATTGTAAAGCTATCCTTTTTTCCTGTTTTCAAGAGTGTTTATATCATAAAACGTTTAACAGGTTATAAACATGTCTTTCCAGTACCCAGAAGCGTATCGTGACGAATCTGTAGTAAGTACAATTGAACCGGTATTGTGCAGCTCCCGTTTGCTGGTAGTTACATTATTTATCGTCTTTGTTTCTGTGATGGTACGAAATTAAATATTTTATTTTTTATAAGAGGGTTAGGTTATGAAAAGAGTTCTAATTATTCCCTCACATCATTAGAAAGAATAATGGGAACTTTAGGCAATTATTTTAATGACATTTATTATGTGGGCTCACTAAAATCTGTCAAAGGTTCAAAACTGAAAATCCGAAAAGCTAAAATGAATTTGAACATCACTAAGCAGTGTGTGCACTACAATACTTTTTGCTTAAAATGAAGAGACGTTATGTTTATTTTTTTACATTTTAACTGAACGGATAAGGCATTGATTCTTAATTTTATCCAATGTACTATTTTCTGGAATCTCTACCTGTCTGCTTAGCGTTTAATTGACAATCGATAAACAAGTAGAGTTCAATTCTCTTTGCTACCTAACAATCAAACTTCTTTTTTGCTTACATGATATTTCTTGTCTCAAAGTAATAGAGAAAATGAAATGAGAAGTACACAGGAATATCAGACTGCTTTCAGTAGTAAATTCTGAGTGAATTTGAACTCTTATCTAATTTAGTAGGGGCATTTTAGTAATAGTGTATATTACCCCTAAATTAGAAAAATTAGATGCATTTTTTAAAAGCAGAGAAAGTCAGAGCTTCTGACTGTTTAATCAGTCCAGTTTAATATATGGATGAATTAACCGTAGTTCTTGGAGAGCTCTGTGTAGACACCAAAAGAAAGTGACCCCTGTAAAGTAAACTCGTACATGGTACATGCTGATCTCCAAAAAAGAAACGTCTTTACACTCAGGCAAAATTGTGTGCTGTTTTTTTTAAATATATATATATTAATAGAAAATATGTTCATGAGTACATATAAAATGTAGGGTGGCATGGTGAGACAGTGATTAGCATTGTGGCCTGTCAGTGCTGGGGCTCTTGGTTCAGTTCCCGGGGGGCTATCTGTATGGAGTTTATACAGTGCCTTGCGAAAGTATTCGGCCCCCTTGAACTTTTCAACCTTTTGCCACATTTCAGGCTTCAAACATAAAGATATAAATTTTTTATT